AGGGCCAGCTATTATCCATCTTTCTGTTCTCCAAATCCACTCCAGATGTGATGTGTATGTTGTAGAGCAGACCTGATTCCTGAACACATGCTTCTATAGAAACATACACATAAGAGCAGAAACACAGTGCATGCACATTATACTTACGATAATAAGGAACCCCCTTCTGAAGCTGAAAGTGGAATCACAGTGAGTGATAGCATACCTCAGGACTGTAGAGACTTGCGAGCGGAGCTAATTTGAAGGCCGATATTACATTTAGAACTGACTTCAAGACCAACATATAAAATAAATAATAGGCCTAAATAAACATTTCAACCAAAAACTGATCTCTTGAGAAAACAACTTAAGCGTTGAGATCACAATAAAATCAGGACAGACAGACAACACAGTAGCCTAATGAACGAATGTTTTGTGTTTCATAAAACGCGGGTCCATTAATACTATATTAAATCAGGCTTTTAACAGCCACTGGCCTGTTTGCTTTTCCAGGTCAGGTTCTTAGGCTGTGGAAAGTCATATGTAACTCGATTACACTAATGAGCAAACTCCTGCACGCTTTTCTCAGTGGAGCTGAGTGCGTCCGGGGGTCACGCGCACTGCAGTGTGCTGACTCTACATTCTGCACAGCTCTTCCTCTCAACACGGAGAGCCGCAATTCACTCGACAACAGCTTTAAAATGAAATATGGTTTATCAGCATTGAAATCGCATTTCAACACATTCATCTGCAGCTGATTTACAAGAAAGACACACGCACCAGAATTTCCACTTCGTGAATGCTATCGAGAAGTTTCTCACGGCCGTGATAACAAATCTACTGAACATTCACGCCTTTCCTCGAAATACTGCGCAAATTCACCTGAATAAACGACACCTGCCACACAGCCAACAATGTCTGTTTAATCTCACTCAAATTCTAGAACAAGCACAGTGACAAATATTCGAACTTTTCTTTTTATAATTCCAATGGTGACCATTTTCCGTTCCAGTAAAAAAAAATTAAACCATAATTCCATATCGCCTGGTCAAATTCAAATACATAACAACGCACTAATAGAAGTGAATCTACTTACAATAATTCCCTTGCTTAGATCCAGTGTCAAATTTTGTGACCCAATAACGATATTCTTTACATTTTATACCAGTCCGTTCGGTGCTCAAAGACAGTCTGACAACAGTTTGAAGCATCGGTGACAGTTTAGTGAGGGTCCAGCCCCTCGCGCTGCACTCAGCCGGTTTTAACGGTCGCTGGGTAACGCGCCATTGTGACTGAACACAAAGCGGGGGCCCGGGAGGGCTGGAGGTGAGGCCGCCGTCGCGCTTTTAAATCGGCCTTAGCTTAGTGGTGCTGCGTTGCCAAGCGATTCTGAACACTTGATAGACTTGATAGATGACACTCATCAGGCCTGATAGTTTAAAACATAATAAGCACAGGAGGAGGAACGGCCGTTAGTCAGTACAATACGAACTAAACTGGGGATTTGCATACTGAGCAAGTATATAAAGGGACCTGTTGAGAGGCCTACAGGAGCATTTTATGCAGTCCTTGTTTGCAGGTCTGTGGGCAGTTGAAAGTTTTCTGGTTGAGTTTCAAGGCCAGATTCAGAGCAAACTATTCTCTGCATGGTGCAGAGGTGATTAAGATAATGAAATGCATCTCATTCTCAATCTATCATTTGTTATAAAGCCTTGTCATAAATAGGCTATTTAATCTTATTGTTGCAGAAAATAACAAATCAAATTCAGCTACAACACCTCTGCAAGCACAAGAATCTGAAGTCAGATACTGTTGTGTCTACTGGAGGAACATGAGGGAGGAGGAGAGATTTGCATTGAAGGCAAGCTGATTCTTGGTAAGATGGTAAACTTCATAGATGTGGATGGGTTAAGGTCAAAGTTCATGACCCTTTAAAGACTTAGCTGGCAGAGCAGTCTGAGAAAGAGGTCTGCTTTGTGCTTAGACATGTATGGGAACAGAAAATATTTAAAAGGCAAGGCTAAGCATAGTTATACCCAAATAATGAACAATAATGGACTGTCAGAAGCTTTTGAAAGTGGTGGGCATATATGAATATTAATCTTATATTTATACACCTATAGAATTTTTAGAGGAAAAACACCACACACGTTTTTTTATTTTAAAACATGTTTTTATTCCTAATATTAGATGTAGATACACAAGTCAACAAACAAGTCTTTTTCTTGTTTAGATCAGTAATGAAAAATGCTCCACAGCACACTTGCCCCCAAGTGGCGGGGTTTGTATTACAGACGAGAAACTCCGCACGAATAGGCTGCAGTTTTACAAGAGGTGCAGTTGCAACAGTAGTATTAATAGTAATATTAATAAGGACTTTTATAATAACAATAATAACAACAACAGATAATAGTAGTGATATTAACAACTTAAAAATCAAGAATGGAATCAACATTCTTTAATAAATGGTATTTGTAATGGGTTTGGTGGAATTATTTTTGAAGACACATTAAAATGTTGTAAAATATAATACTATTGGAAAAAATCCCAGATTTTATCAAATCTAATGCTCAGTAATTTGAGGCCACACTCACTTTTACTGAGAGACGAGTTTCATCCCATTGAATTCACTGTATTGCAATATTTAATTTCCCCTACAATTTTCCACACTGGTCCTTTGAAATGTACACAAACAGACTCTCTTATGTCATGATGTAACTGACTATCTAAGCAAACTGGGTTAAAACCAACCATACTGGATAGTGTAAAATGTGAGAGAAAGAACAGAAGTTTTCAGATAAAGTAACTCTGATAAAGATAATAATAAAAAAAATCAACAGCACAAATGAGACTAATCCAATGCAACACATTGACTTATTTTAGGAAGCAATTTAGCGCACAGTCCCAAACTGTATGTGCAGGCTCAGACTAAATGAATCATCTTACAGCTCAATGACAGTATTCTGTGTGAACAAAAGCACTGGTCTACAACTAAATCGTTCTACCGCAGTGTTTTTTTTATCCTTTAGGATGGAGAACATCAGACCGATCCAGAGAATAATGTTTCATAACGTTGACTCCAAGATCCTAATTTCACATCACTTGAATGGAGCGGAAAATGAGTTACAGTGACATTGTCCAATCACTGAAATTGTAAAGAGGCTGTTTTTGGGGGCTGGACAAGGTTCAGCAGAGAGTCTGCATCATTTTCCTTCACATCAAACTTCACAGCAAAAAAAAAAAAAGTTCAGCTTCCGTCTTCGTGTTGACCCCTTAAATACGTCTCCAAAGGAAATGTCAAGATGAATGACATAAGAGTGGACATGGCTCAATATACTCCACACACCTCAGAGGAAGGGGCTTCATTGTATGACGTCAAAAACTCACGCTAACATTAACACACCAAGGCAAGCTTTCTCACAATCATATGAGGCTGAAAAATCGTTATCCTACAAAAATACTGATTTCATGCCACAGTGGGTACACTTTTACCAATACATCATGCGTTTAACTGCAAAAGTATATCTGAAGTTCTGCCTTCTATGTTGCTATTGATTCTGCCTCTGTGTAACGTGACTTATGGGACAGGAGAGAGTCTCCTGCTGACCGCAAGTATAAAACCTACAATTATATATGTGGTAAAAATTTCACATTCCTCCAAGGAAGATAATTGATAGTAACTTGTGATGTACAAATAAAGGGAACAGATCATCTCAATCACCATGAGCGGGGGGAAAATTGTCAATTTGGTCCACATTAAGAATACCTCAGTAATTTTGTTTCTCATTCAGAGCTGAAGCACATTCACAACCGATATACCTGAAAGCAACCTCTTCTGAGCGCGCGCACACACACTCACTC